ACGATTTGATGGTGTTGCATAAAGGGTAAAATCATTTTCAAGGTTCTATTTCAGGTCTATTAACAAAGGAGGCAATTGATACTACAAACAAATCAATTTTGCCTTCACTGGCCAGTTTTGCTAGTGCAAAATGATTACTAAAATTGAGTACTGTGAAACTAAAACAATCAGCACATCACCTCCTGGGTATTTGAGTTTGCTCATATTGTAATCAGCAAGGATTATTTTGGCTGTAACTTATACGTTTGTTCCAGCATTAGATTAACACATAAAGTACACAAAAAGAACCACAGTAATAAAATCTGTGAGTTGTAAGCCTTGTCTAGCTGCATGCGTGACAGATCTACATGCCTCAGTTCTGCTGCCTTTGAGAAATACCTCCCAGACAGGCCAGTGATCAGCCTCCCTTACTCTCACACACTGATGTAAACACACAGCACTGTTCTTCCCTGCCTTAGACTCAGCACAGCCATGGCTATTTCTGTTAGACAGACTGATAGCTCCTACTGAAGATCATTGATTTTACGGGAAGCCCTGTTTACAGGCCGAGTGCCATCGACCTGAGGTGACTTTTTGCCTCCTGCAGTTGGAGCAGTACTGGAGCACCTTTATGTCTGCATTAGCACAGGAGTAGACTGAATATTTACAGCACATAATAAATTACTGTGTTTCATTGTTAATTGTTGCTAATTGAGTTAAAGTGATGGGGATCAAGGAAACCAAGACTTCACCTCCACAGAGTTAACAACGAGTATTGACTGTTGATGTTCACAGTGACAGTATGAAAATAATCTTGGATATTTTTTTTTAATAAAGAATGACTAAAGTATAAGAGGTATATTTATGTATTTGTTTATATTTAATGATGATTGGATCTTCTTGCTATGACAGTGTTAACCACTGCACCACAATGCTGCTCTACTGATAATGCCATGTATTTATTTATTCTTGGTACCATGCAGTTAAGCTTCCTGTGACACCATATCAGTCATAAACTCACATCTTGCCTTAGTGGAGTATAAGGTCTTTATATGGAAGCAAACCTGCAGTTAAAAAAACAAAACAAAATAGGAAAAAGGGGGAAGAGGAAAAAGAAAAAACACTTGTGAAGTTTTAAAAATATCAGTTCAGTCACTAAAATATAAGGGCCTTAAAACCAGACTTAAAGCCATACCAGGCATTAAAGTAGACATATGTTAAAAAGTGCAATGCATGCATACCTTTATTGGTGATTAATTGAAACAAGCTTACAAGATAAACCCATGCGCCGCTCTGCCTGAGGACTACAATGGTTTCCCCATCAATGAGCATGTCCCTAGTGCAACATCAAAAGCCTTCCCTTGCTTTATCAATAAGAACCTTTCCTTCCCACATCTTCCTGTAACTTGCTTAGCGTTCATGCCATTGATTTTCCAATAACCGCCCCTTACCCTGCGGTGGCTATCCAGGCTCTGTGATGGCGCAGAGACAAGACACAGACAAGGAACATCACTGATGCATGTTTGAAAATCACAACTGGTGTATTGTGTGGGGTCTTTCTTGGCAGGTTAACAAACTTGTGTGCCCTCACAACTCGTGAGTATGCGTATGTGCAGTAAGAGTAAGGGCACCCCTAAGTAGCAGTATTTACAGTTTGGATAGAGTCTGAGCTAATTCCCCCAGGAAACCCTAGAGACCAGGGTCTTCGAAAGGCAAGACCAGGCCTTTGGGCAGGTGATCAGGCATGCTTATAATCAGATGCTTCTTTAGCCTTTAATTCCTGCCTCAGTTGGCCAGTAAATCCCACCTAATGAAAGGACCTATATCTTAAAACTTATCTCATTTTGCATCCCTACAAAATGACATCCAGACCCACTCTCTGACATTGTTCATTAAAACCAAGGCCTTTTCACAAGGTTCAGTCTTATCTGCTTTGTGGTTGGGAGGGGGTCGAGCATAACCTTTTTTTTTTTTGCCACAGAGAAAATAGAAGAGCGAGGAGACTCTGGCATAAAGTCTTTGATGGCAGGTGGCAGTAGGGGGTGAATGCTGCAGTTAGGATCTGTGCATCATCATGCTTTCCCTGAGATCAGCTCAGGAATCCAGCCTTTTCTTCCCTGTGATTATCTCTTATTGTCAACTAAGGCTTGTTTTGGCTGCGCACAGCCTGCTTATTGTCAACTCAGTGGACCCATATTCAGAATTAAAAGGCAAAACAGGGGCAGACGCCATGACAGAATCACTTTTTGTAATGCCAGTATTCAAAAGGCAATTTTTTTTTGTTTCTAAATATTGCAATGTATAACAGTACATAAAGGTAACTTGTAAATAATAACAGTACTAGTCATCTCTAGTGGTCTACTCCATCATTTTTATTTGTGGTTATTAACACAATCAGCACACAAAGACACCAGCCTCCTCCACTTCCCCTCTACTTTGACCGCGTCTCTTTGTCTCCAGGACTCCTTTAGTGCCTCCTAGAGATTAAAGCTTTTCCTACTTTAAACAGGTGTCGCTGAGCCAAGCAGACCTCCTAGAGACAAACAGCATTATATCAGTTGGCCCATCTGCGACTTTCCGACTCCAGACAATCCCATTGCTCATCAGTAACCACTGCAGGTTATTGAATTACACCATCTTGATTTTAAAGGGCAATTCTGTTTTCTGTAAGCACTGGACACACCAAACTATCTCGGCGCTCCAGCACTGATCAAGAGTCATTGTTTTATCCTGTCTGTTGCTAATTGCTTGAGGAATCTTGAGCGGTAATGTGAATTGATGGGTACTGTACTCACCTTTTTTAAACCCGAGGAAAAGAGGAGACTAGAGAACTTTAGAGGTCATTGTTGGCCTTATCCCAGTCTCTTCTCCCTCAAGTCTAACCCTCTGTTTTACACACTGTTGCTTGGCTAGGGTTTCTCCCTTCTTTGGGGGATTGAGGTTTACTGGTCATCTAGTTTACCAAATGAAGCATGGAAGACCATTTAGAGGGACCTCCACAAAACATGAAACACATGAAGGGTAGAGCCAGGTGGGGGGATTTGAGCCGGGTTCTTAAAAACTAGTTGTGCATGTGGTCCTAGTGTTCCCAGGCCTGGTTGAGACAGGCAGTGGAATCTGAAGGAGGGGCCTAATAGATTACAGGAACAAAGTGTGAAAAACTCCATGTTCTGACAGGACACATGGAGATGTTTTCCTATGAGACAGTCCATTTAGACGAGTCACTTTTTCTCCCCCACCCCCCATTTCATTTCGTACAGTTTATCCACTTGCTTTTAGTCTGAAGAATCACTGTCTGTTTGACATGTGGCGCGTTTTTTCTTGCATTACTCTCACTGCCCTCAGTCCATTTGTGTGAAATGGCTGTTGAGCTCATAGCCTCTTATTAATGGAGCAGATAATAAATACAGACCAGTAAGGCTAGTATCCCCTCACTCAATATGGCAGCCATCGCTAAATCATGTCTGGCTGTATAAAGCAATCATGTTAATAAGCCAGCCAGTCTAATATCTTTCATTTTATATGCAAAGTAACTTAAGGGTCACTGAGGTTAGCTTTTGTTGAATGTAAACAAAATAATCAGACAGACCATGCTAGCAGAAATTTGTGTGTATTTATGGTTCTCTATTTAATTTTACTTACTGCTCACGATTGACTCTTCATTTAGCAGACCAAATACAAAATGAGGGTCCTTTATCATGACTTTTTTGTTTTGTTTTTTGCAGTTTGAGTGCACATAGGCTGGGGAGGTCTCAGGTATGTTACACGGGAAGCAAGCCTCATCAGACATTCATGAAGAGGCAGACAGACATTATCAATCTTTCCTCTCCTTCAGTGCTTTATATGTTAGGGTGTGGGGTAGACTCCATTCTGATCGCAGCTGAAATTTGCATCCCTAAGTAAATAAGTAAATAAATCAAGTGCAAGCGGTGAATGTGCTAATCAACCAGGACATGGCAGTGAGCTCGGTGCCGGGAAACTTTGCTCATGTAATATTCAGTACTGTTGGGTTAAAGGGCAGCCCAGAGTTATTGGTTTCAGCGCGATTGCCCCCTTTAATCAATGTTGGCTGCATCCCTTTAATAAAATTATTAGCTCAGCAGTATCTTGCGCTATCATTTTATCTCTTCTGCGCTCTAAATTGCAGCCTGCGTTGAGTCTCTCAGATGCTCGGGGCATGGCCAGCTCCCGAAAGCTCAGCTCCCATTTATTATTTCAGAGGCAGAGGATGGCTGGAGTGTTTGAAACCAGGCTAAGCGTGGAGGTTATTGGATGCAAGATCTAAACACAGCTGCAGTGAAGTCCCAAACCAGCTTATGTGTTTTGGGTTCATAGAAAATACTGACTTTTATTGCTCATGTTAGCGTCCAGACAAATCTATCTCAATAATGCACATGAATTACATTCTTCTTCTATGTACACCACTGGAGGTGGAGTGGTAACAGTATTACTGTTAAGAATTTCTTTCTTTTTTTAGATACAGTTTTCCCTTTTTTTTTTTCTTTTTCTAGTTATGTAAATGTACGACATGCTGATGGGTGGCTTCTCAATGTCTAATTATCTCACAAGGAATCTATTTGATCCATTAAGTTAGACTGTTGCTGCCTTTTTTCTGACTGCAAGTTAATTAAAAACGGATGTAGGATTTGCAGAATATAAGATTAGGGGTGTTGTTTGGAAGGTGAAGATAAAAGATGGTACCTTTGTGATATGGCAGGAAGATGAATCGTGGAAGTCTTATTAGTGCTTGTCTCAGGTATTGTGTTTAAGTGCCTAATCTAGCGTAATGAGCATGGTGTCATTTTTCCAATTATATCTCAGACTTTTGTCTCTTACGATACATCGCCATACATTCGCTTGTTTTTTTCTTTCAAACCTTTTTTTCCCCATTGTCTTCCTTTCATATTTATAAGTCTGATCTTTCCCTAATTTACATAGCAAATAAATTATGTGCTGTTTGTGTGCTTACTGTCCCAAATACAACTTTAACCTCTTATCGTAATCATTTTGTGTCTCTGCAGGCCTGGATGCGATGAATGCCTCATGTAGGCATCAGCATGGACAGCTGTGAGTCTCCCGTGGTTTCTGGGACAGACGATGGGCTCGGCTCCTCCCAGCAGCAGCAACCACCTCAGCCCTGGAACGATCACAATAGCTCACAGGTCACCTGCACCAACCAGGCACCTTCCCTGGACCCGCTGTCTCTCTCTGGTCCCTACCCCTCTCAGTCCCAAAACTCTATTGCACCTCATGACAGGGTAAGAGAACTACAGTCTCAGCAGCAGCAGCAGCCAAAGCAGACATCACCCCGGACCCACCGTGATAGCTCTGCCACAGGCCAGCTGCATCCCAGAGGAGAGGGTCTTGACGAAGAAGACCAAGAGGGAGTGAGCTGTGGAGAAGAGGAAGAATCTGAGGACTTAGATGAAATGGAGATTGACAACTGTTTCCCTAGTCTTCAACCTTTTCCTGGGATGCCAATAGCTTCAGGGGGAGGAGGTATGCCCACTCTTTTGCGACATCAGCCCACACAACAGCAGGGACCACCTGAGAGTGGGAGTGAGGAAGGGGAGGAGGAAGAGGAAGAGGAGAGTAGTGATGTGGAGAACCTGGCTGGAGAGATAGTCTACCAACCAGATGGCTCAGCCTACATTGTGGAGAGCCTCAGTCAGTTGATCCAAAGTAGTGGAGGCATGGTACCCGGCCTGCTTCCTACAAACTCTCTCTCGAGTGGGGGAAAACCAGGGGAACCTGCTGGGACTTCGTCCTCAGTTTACCCACAGATCATCAACACGTTCCACATAGCCTCGTCCTTTGGAAAGTGGTTTGGTAATTCAGACCAAGGTTTCCCCAATACCTCAACAATGGCAGGCCTTAGCCCTGTCCTGCACAGTTTCCGTGTCTTCGATGTGCGGCACAAAAGCAACAAGGATTACCTGAACAGCGATGGGTCTGCCAAGAAGTCCTGTGTATCCAAAGATGTTCCCAACAATGTGGATTTCTCCAAATTTGATGGGCTAGCCCTATATGGCAAGGGTAAGCCCATTCTCATGTGTTTTCTCTGCAAGCTGTCCTTCGGCTATGCCCGTTCCTTTGCCACTCATGCTGTCCACGATCACCGCATGACACTGTGTGAAGATGAGCGGCGGCTGTTAGGAGATAAGCATGCATCTGCCATTATCCAGGGCATTGGGAAGGACAAAGAGCCCCTCATAAGTTTCCTGGAACCAAAAAATAAGAGCACTCCTCTGCCATCTACGCTGCTCCCTCTTAACTCTGGACAGAGCTTCTATGGCACATTTAGTGGTGTCCATCTAGAGCCTGGAAGCAGCAGTGGGGGCAGTGAGACCCTCCTGAACAAAGACTCTGACTCTGGCCTCCAGCAACAGCAGCAGCAACAAACCCCATTAGGCTCAGTGCTTTCTCTTGGAGGGCTGAGCATTCCCAAAGCGCCCACTCTTACCTCATCCCCAGGCTCTGCCAAAGACTCCAGTGCCCTGCCCAAACAGGGAGGGAGAACAGAGGAGCCTGCTGGGAAAGAGTTGGCTTGCAAGGGAGAAGATGGGAACACTAAGGGACATGAAAGCAAGGCACACTTATCCAGCCAGACCGGGGGCTCTGAGGAGGACGAGGAACTGTTATTAGGGGCAGAGGAAGATGAGGCAGAAAGCACTGCAATGGCCTGTGGTGGTAACAGTAGCAGCGGTGGGGGTGAAGCGGGGGAACCAGCTGTCTCAAACCAAAGCATTTCCAAATCTCCTTTATTAATGCCTAGTAGCACTCTCCAGCCTTCTCCCTGCACCTCTGCAGTCAGTTCCACACTTAACAGCAAAGCCCTTGCTTCCATTTCCTCCTCTGTCAAGGAAGAGGGTTCAACTGCAGATGGTGGAGGGAGGACCTCAGAGCTCCCTCTGAGCTTTAACTGCCAGGGACCTACTGTTCCCATGGCACTGGTGACAGCTGCCGTCAGAAGGAGCGAGGATGAAACTTCTGGCACTTCCTCCTCGCCTCTGTCCACCAATGCTGCTCCTGATGAAAGTGCCAATCGAGATAGTGCCACAGCTCCAGAACCAAATGATTGCCCTGCAGAGGGAGAGGAGGAAAATGGAGCCCTTCTGCATCATCACCACGTGCACCACCATCATCATCACCTCCACCCTTCATCTCATGGCCACTCGCACCCCCTCCCAGGGGGTTCCTGTGACATAACAGGAATGGGTGAGTGTTCACAGAACCATGGGCCCAGTGGCAGTGGAGTTAGTGGGGTCGAATGCCCTAAATGTGACACTGTTCTGGGTTCCTCACGTTCTTTGGGTGGTCACATGACCATGATGCATTCACGCAATTCATGCAAGACACTCAAGTGTCCCAAATGCAACTGGCATTACAAGTACCAGCAGACTCTGGAGGCCCACATGAAAGAGAAGCACCCAGACTCTGGAGGCTCTTGCGTATACTGCAGCAGTGGTCAGAGCCACCCTCGTCTGGCTCGTGGAGAAAGCTATACCTGTGGATACAAGCCCTTCCGGTGTGAGGTATGTAGATAACCTTTTGTTGATTTAGGTGCATTTTATATAGCAGCTAAGGATATTAAATTTGTATCTGTATCATTTTATCACAGTTTAAAAAAAACTGATCTTGTATTTCGTAGGTGTGTAACTACTCCACCACCACAAAGGGGAACTTAAGCATCCACATGCAATCAGACAAGCACCTGAACAATATGCAGACACTGCAGAATGGAGGCTCCATTGGGTCTGCACAGGACCAGGTGTTTGGACATACACCAGGAGGAGTGGTGGCTGTCCCGTCAGTCACCCAGGCCAGTAGCCATCACCCTCCCCACCACCATCCTTCACAATCCTCCACTCACATGTCCGGACCTTGTGGGGTCCCCTCCCCAACCAAGCCGAAGAGCAAACCTTCTTGGAGGTGTGAGGTGTGTGACTACGAGACCAATGTGGCGCGGAACCTTCGTATTCACATGACTAGTGAAAAGCACATGCACAACATGATGCTGCTCCAGCAGAATGTGACTCAGATGCAGCACGGGCGACTTGGCTTGGGTGCTATGCCTTCGCCCTCTGAGGCTGAGCTCTACCAGTATTACCTGACGCAGAACATGAGCCTTCCACCAAGCCTCAAGATAGACCCAGCTGGAGCTGAGGCCCAGTTCCTGATGGGGAGCTTTCACCTAGATCCGAACATGGCTGCCTTGGCTCCTGCACTTGGTATGTCCCATTTGGTTCTCAAAAGCATTTCCCCGCAAAAAAGAAAAAACAATGACTAGACCTTTTAGCTGAACTCTATCTTGATTCCTAATTTATTCATTTACACGAACACAAGACAATAATGCAAAATTTTAGCAAATGAAAAACAAACCAAAGCGATAAGCTGCAATACAATATGCTGTACTCCGGCATATCACGGATTTGTACTTAGGCAGCTGCCTTGTTCTCATGCCATAAGATATGTGTTTACCAGCAATGGTAGAATGTTCTAGTGCACAAGGCCAGCATAACATTTTTTTTCTTATAATAAATGTGCCAGGCAGCATACAGAAAGCAAAAGATTATTTATTTCCCTACTCATGCAATCTTTTACAGGGCACTCAAATGACAGTGTGTTGATATGATTTAGCAGAATTTTGAAGCTCACTGTGTGATATCCATACAAGGTGATTTAGAAGGCCAAACATGTATAATCTATGCTTTTCCCCCTCCTTTCCACACAGTCAACCAGCCTTAGCTTTTTACTTTCAAACTGCTGCTGAACTTCACCGCTGGAGTTCTCCGTTTCTTCCAAGTCAGTAATTTCAGCTATAAATTTAATCTTGGTCAAAGAAGGGAGGTTAGAGGCCTCAGCAAGGGTAATTCAGCAGCATAGCAAAGTGTTTGTAGGACCAGTTACAACCACACAGTTTGTACAGACTTGTTTCAACTGTCACCAGTTTGAAGACACAAACAAGAATTTATTGCTGTGACTAATTTTTTTCCCCTCTTCTGCCATCTGGTTCATTTTCCTGTGAGGTGAGTAGTAATAAGCATATTGCAAGAGAGGCAATAATTACACAGTCTGGGCCCATAAACTGCAGTAGTGTTATCCATGGTCACACTTTAAGGAACTCTTAACGCTATCATACACAAACACTCTGATATTAACGGTACCACCATATAATACATAAGGCTCAGTACGAGATCCCTAAACAAACAGACACAGAGGTGCACTTTTTATGCTCTCATTCTGGATTTCTTTTTCTTTTTTTTACTGTAGGGTGTATTTCTAAAGAGGTACAATTTATGGCAAGTGCTGACCTCAGGTTATATCAGCTTCTTTCTTATCCTCGCTCCCAAAACTCAGGACTACAGCCCTGATAAAGACAATACGAGATCAAGAGCAGGAGTTAAAGAGAGGTGCAACTTTTACTTCTCTGTCCTGAAATATGGTTACAGCACACCGTGGAGCAATACAGCTGTCAAGTCAGATGGTTATATACCTAAAACATTTGTCTTGAAAACAGTCTGATCAAATGGAAAGATTCAGTCTTTTACCTTTTTTTCTTTTCAAGAATCCCCTAGCACAAAAAAAAGGATGGCCTAATATACAGAGGTTCACATTAAAATAGTTTGAATATAAAGCAGCCTATATTAAACAAAAGCTTGGTCTGATGACATGCAATCAAAATTTAGTTGTGGACAAGGGGTCTATGGTAAATAATGAAATCTTAATAGTAACAGACAATGAGAGAAAAGGGAAGTGCAAGGGGGGAAAAGCAGGTAGGTACAGTATAATGACATATGTGTGCATCTGTGGTTTTGTATGATTGAGCATAAAGAGCCATGACTGGGGAGCTGGGTCTGTGAGTGATTTCACAGGGCTTCTCAAAGGTCTCCCTCTCCTGGCTATAAAAACTCAGGTAATGGAGAAAAGTCCAAGAACAGGCTGCATACTGCAGCAATAAATAAAAAGAAGCTGCTGGAATTAATTTAGTGTAAAGCCAGGCGGGGTCAAGCCTGCATGCTCAGTCTGGCCAGTGAAAGATTAAAGATCAGCAAGCAAAGGCAAAAACACCGGCTCTTACCTCGTTTTTTTAGCATTCATTTTTTTTCCCAGACTCTACCGACATCAATTATGTGGTCGGTGTCATAAGATATGTGCTTGCAGTTTTTTGTGTTTTTTCCCCCTCTGCTCTATGGTTCGACTCAGTACCAAGCAGACTTAATCTGTTAGGTGTTAGAGGTAATCTGAAGAGAAAGGTGGAAAATAATCCAAGGAAAGTAGTGTAAATTAAAAAGAATAAAAAGCATCATTGTGTGAACAAGGGGAGTGGGGTTGATTCACGGTATTTTGAGCTTGGAAAGTCTTTACTGTAATTAGAAAACACGTTGCTTTTTTCTGTTGACCTTTAGAGTTGATTTACAGGCAGGAGATGAAAGAGCATCAGCCCAAACAGTGAAAATGTGCATGTTCATTTTCTGGCATTGGAAGGCTTTTGTAGAAATGTCCAGGCGCTCTTGTTTCCTAGCTCAGAGCTATTTGTTGGCTAGAGACAAAAAAAATGAGCATTATCCTTCACATAATATCATACCTACCAGACACATTCTTTTAAGCATGTATTTACTTGAAATAGCCATCTAGACTGTATGCTTTGAATAGGTCTGAGCTGATGATACTGTTCTCTTCTCTTTGTTTTGTTTTCTCTTCGTGTGTTTGCTTCGTTCTAGTAGGTGGGGAAATCCCTATGGATGTGCGGCTAGGTGGTGGGCAGTTGGTGTCCGAAGAACTGATGACCCTGGGAGAAAGTTTATCGCAGACTATAGATCCCTCTCTCAAGCTCTTTCAGTGCGCTGTGTGCAACCGCTTCACCACTGATAACCTGGATGTGCTTGGCATGCATATGGGAGCTGAACGGAGCCTGCCGGAGGAGGAGTGGCGTGCCGTTGTCGGAGACTCGCATCAGTGCAAGTTGTGCCACTACACTACTCAGCTCAAGGCCAACTTCCAGCTGCACTGCAAAACAGACAAGCATGTGCAAAAGTACCAGCTTGTGGCCCACATCAAAGAAGGGGGCAAAGGCAACGAATGGCGCCTGAAATGTGTGGCCATAGGCAATCCGGTGCACCTAAAGTGCAATGCCTGCGACTACTACACTAATAGCCTGGAGAAGCTGAGGATGCACACTGTCAATTCCCGCCATGAGGCTAGCCTTAAACTGTACAAGGTCAGTGATCCACAAGTTTGTTTTTTATTTTAATTTTTTTATCAAACCCATTATTCAGCCTTGTCCTGTTCATGCAACACAGCTGCCGATTTACAATTCTGTCATTAATGCATCATTTGAAGTGTTTTAATACAGACTCATTGTCACATTTGACATTATTTTTAGTCTTTGAACCTCAGAACTTTGTTTTGCTAAAAATGCAAAACAAATCTTAAAAACGAATCCCCGTTAAAGCAATGCTTCTCTGCAACATACAGTACATGTTTTAGCTTTGCACCGCTACTCGGTGCGCTCCAGAGGCATGAATGAAAGCTTTGTCGTGTAGCTGCTGCCTTCCCAGTTGTCATATAGAAGCAGGGCCCCACTGCTGCAATGAGAAGAACATGCAGGACAGAACAGGCGTAGCTGTTTTGGAAGCTTGGGCCTGAATCACTTGGAGACGAATGAAGAAGTGTTAGGAGACAGAGGTTTGGTGCTAATACTCCTCGGAGCGGGAAAGGCTGAATTGTTCTCGACAGCCGTATTGATTTTTGCTGGACTTGGAGCTTCACCTTCTCCTCTAATCATTCCATAATAGCCAGTGGATGAACACTCTCCGAACAAATGGCCATAAATCTAACAGGCCTGATTCCACTTAGGTACCTATCCTGTGTGTCTTTGGCTTCGGCCACTCTGTGCTTAACCCAAACTGGCATAGTTGCGCACACACACACAGATAGCAAAACACATACCAACACTGACCAAACATACTTGCTATAAGCATACACTACACACACAACAGGATCCAACACAAAGCACTGAATGCTGCCTAATAGATGTCATCCTTATTTGTAATCTAGCTTCAGCATCCTTGTTTGAGTATATAAAGAACTCAGTTGACAGTGCAATGGAGGTATTAAAAGGTATGTGAAAAATGTGCTACCTCAAGCATGGTGTTTTAACCGCATTAAAAACTAAGGTGAAGTGGTCATTTTGAACCTCTTCAAAAATCTTGTCCATTTGAAAATCATTCAGCATTATGAATGTTTGTCAGGCCGGCTGAAATGACAGCCGTGTTTCCTCCTCACAGCTTCTTTGTATTGAAGTAACAGCAAAATTTAAAAAAAATAATCAATTTTCATTTTTTCTAAAAGGGGAAGGTGTGAAGCGGGGCTTCTGTTGCTACTTTAAAGAGGTCAGGAGGTGCTTAGCTTGTCATTCTGTGGTTTGCTCCATGACAACAGAGATCACAGGGACATTTTTAGATTAGCGTTATAGCATTATAGTGTCATTTTCAGTTTCATATTTATATTCTTGCACTATATTAAGAATTATTTTAATTCCCTTCAGTATAATCCTTATTTATCTTAAGGGGTTTGGGTGCAGCCTCCTCTACCTTAAAGACCCTTCTTATTTTAAGCCACCTTTCTTCTGATTGGCTGCCCCTTGCAAACTCAAGGTTTACACTGCAGGAAGGCAGTGCTGCTGTGCTCATAGCCAGAGCTGGCTACTTTAGGGAACTCTTAATGCTATCATACACAAACACTCTGATATTAACATTTTAGTGTAAACACATAGTCTGTGAATTTGTCAGGTCAGTGCATGTGTTTCCCAGTCTTTGGTCCTCCTCTCTTAACCTTAGCTTCTGGACTTACTGGGCCAAATTCCAATAACAGTCTCCCATTAGAAGAAAATGGACCAGCTCTGGCTTACTTTCTCTCATGCTTACACCTTTTTGAGAAAGATCCATGTTTTGCTTTGCCGCATAGAGTATAACTTCTTCTACATCTTTGTGCTTCAACTGTAGTGCAAACCCCCCAAAAATCTCCCCTATTTCTTTGTCTGTGCAAGTTTTAGGAGAGAAGAGACATGTCACACTGCTCTTTGGGCTGTGGGGGATTAAATATGTACAACACATCCAGGCATGATCATTTTTTATGACTTAAGCCTCTTAAGATGGCTCCATATTTCTTAAAACCAATTGATCTTCTGACTGGGAGTATGTGCATTTGTCCAGAAATTACCTGCTCTCTCAAGAGAACATAGTGGTCTTTTTAAGCTCTTCTCATCCCAGACCTTACTCCAAAACCTAAATGTTCATAAGTCAACAAGAATTAATACAGTGTTTTACAGCTCATCAATGTTTAACGGACAAGCACATGGTTTTAAGGTTTTTTTCACTGTACTGGCTCCCCACTTGACAATGTCAGTTTTCTTACCATTTTGAATTTACTGTCCTGGTAGAGATACTGACAGACAGAAAACCACAGTGCCCTAAAAGCCTGTAAAACCAACTTGGTATATTATGCATGCGCAAAAAAAAGAAAAAATCACCATTCATTTATGCTTCCCCAAAGAAATCTGATGCAAATAGCACCATTTTTAACCTTTTTGGGGAGAAAATAAATCATCAAGTCAGCATAAACAGGCTGTAAGATGTGGGAGATGCTTGGGACACTTCACCCAAATCAAACTGGTTTGCATTAAACAGACCCTTTGTGTGCACAGCTCCATATAAATTGGAGCCTGTAATTACTGGAATTAAAAAGGAAGGTTTAAACTGAGGGCTAAGCTGGATGGGATAATTTGAGAGTCTGTGGTATGCGGCCCATATTAGGGCTTTCTAAAAATATCACCCCCACCACCCCATGTATTGGAATGTTCCAAAAGACCACAGAACGATCCAGCAAGTCATCCTGACCACTAGACCACCACACAGTGGGGGGTGATGCTCTTTTCCCCTGTGTGCTGTGCTCTCAGTTCAGAGATACCAATTCTGAAGTCTGTGAGTTCTGCTTCAGTCCCCTGTGCACTGAAACTAACTTATACCTTCTCTTTTTCCCATGGATCATGGGGATTTTGGTCGCTCTGATGACAGCATGATGATTGCCCATCTGCTCACAAGATGGTCACTCCTAGAGAACCCTCCACTGGCTAATGTGATATACATACAGCTCTCCACTCAGGCCTTGGGGCTTCACTGTGTTTTAGTGTGGAGGTGAGAGACTCATCTAGCTCCAGGCCCAACTGCTTTGGCCAGACAGAAAGGGTGGGGACTAACCAGGCCAAGCCACAGGCCTCAGCTTCCAGTCAAGGGTTGGGGGAAAGGGGAGGAGCATCGGGGGTTAGCTGGCTACCTTCCTTGTCTCGGGGGCCGGTGCAATCGGCGGTAATTGAGATTGATTGGATGTTATTTTTCCTCTTGCAAATGTAGTCCATTAGCTTGGCACATGCATAATCAGTTTAGAGCGCAGTTAGCCGAATGTAATCATGTTCCTCGGTGTCTGCTAGCACAAAATCCACTCCAGATGCCGCTTGGCCATGGAAAGACGGGGGGGAAAGTGCCGTCACTATCAGATGGGGAATCTTTAACCAAGCAAGTCTTGAAATCCCTTCCTCTGTTCTGCTCCTTCCCTACTGAGCACAGAGGAGTGTTAAAAAATTCAACTCCCTCTTTTCTGCCTTACACAGCCGGTCGCAGGGACTGTCCCATGCCTTACCGTTAAGAACAGGGCTTTTGATCATATGTTCTGCCCATTAACGGACAGAAAACATCTGTAACTTGTGTAGAGTTACTGCTCTTATTTTACCCCTCAGTGCAATCCAAAAGAATCAGTGAACACTGAGGAAAGAAAATGTCCACACTCTGCAGAGAGCAAATAATCATGATGAAACATAATAGAGGAAAAGAGGCCGTAATGTAAATGAAGGGATTAGTGGTTACATGAAAAGGCATTAAGGTGTTTCACTGATGATGCTACTCAGCAGAAGCACTGGCTTCTCAGATGCGGGAATCCAAGCAATGATGACCGCTCCCTGTTAATGATCAGAACTACTGGGATTGACTCGAGTCTTCTTGGACTATGCATTGGAATGCAGTTGGAGAACAACCACAAATAGGTTATGGATTTGATTCCAACTCTGGAAAAATGTTGTAGTTTTGCAATCAAATAATGCTGATGTGTATTTTGGATGTGTACAGCAGTCTGGTTGATTTGGTCTTGGTCCAAGAGCTCTCTAGCGGAGAGTAAGGCAACTTATGGCACCCTACAGTAGGTAAGGTGGGTTTTTGAATTGTTGTTAAGTTCTCGCTTTACTTGCCGACTGGGCTTGTCGTGATTATATCTTTCTCCCAGTGTCTTAAACTTCTCTCACGAATGTGCCCAAATTCTTACTCTCATTGCTATTAAGACAAAAAATATAACGTAAGGTAATCTGAGGTGTCCAAAACTTGGGCGAGTGGGTGCCTCGCTTTACCCTCTCACGTATGACGCATTTCTCTATGAGGGGGACTGGTAGGTGGTGGATGGAGAGACAGACAGGAGTGAGGGTGGTGGTGGGGGTGCTAGAGGATACACTGCTAATTATCATGGCTAGCCTATGATTGTTCAGTAATAGTGCTCAGTGGGAAAGGTTGCAGCAGTTCCAGGAAGAGCTGAGCTCTGATTTACTGGTACTACCACTCTAATAAAGCGCTCACTGCACATCCTGGGAGACAGCCCATTCTCTCCTTTCACATGCACAAGTGTGTGAATGCACACACAAACAGACAGACGAACAGGCAGGCGCACACACAGAGCAGCCGTGTCATCTAAAATGCCATAGGGCACATGAAAGGTATCTTTTCAGTAGTTCATAGAGAAGTTCTGTGTCGGCCCCTGCCTCTGTTTACTCCCCAGTTAACATTGTTATGATCCAGAACCCTGGTTACACTCTTTGTTTCAGTAGTCACCTGCAGGGTCTTAAACTCTTGCATCTTACTTCAAACAAATCTCACTTACTCAGTGGTGGGTGAAACAAGGAAGGAGCATTACAGCACAGAGAACCAGGGTGGATTTAAGAGAGTGGCTGTTAGGCATGTAAGGGGGAGCTAGTAGGGGTTAGTGTTTGGCTGTGTGCAAAAATTTCACAACTCTTCTAGCTCCCACCCCTTGAGAAGGCCAGAGAAAGGGTCAGGCTTTGACCCGTGGCACAGCTGTTGCTGCTGGTGGTGTTGATTGTATGTGCACAGGCCCTACTGT